GAACTACGCCTAGGGAGTAGGAGTACCGAAAAAAGACGCGTTAAAACCGGTGCCAACTCTGGAGCACACGTCCTCAGCACAATTGGGGGGATTCCGTCAGGCCCACTCGACTTGTGGATGTCCAGGGAGAGGAGTGCTTTGCGAACCGAGCGCTGTGTGAACTGCACTTCCGGCGTGGAGCACTCACACCGCGGGATGGTCGGCGGTGTACTCCCCCCGTCATCGAGAGTCAAGATGGACGCAAAGAAAGAGCCTAGAAGATCGGCTTTCTCCTTTGCGGTATGGGCCAGTGAGTCGTCCTCCCTGTGCAGAGATGGAAGAGATGGCTGACAGAAATTCCCCTGGACAGCCTTTGGCGAGAGACCAGAATGCACGGGTTCCAGAAGGAAGGCGAACTAGTTTCTCGCCAATTCTGCCTATGTGCCTATGTGACTTTGCCTTAGCAATGACTCTTTTGAAGGACCTAGAGATGGAATTATACTTCTTTTTTATAGCGCTGGTGTTTACATCCCGGGACGCTGATGCGTCAGCCCAGGCTCGGTAGCACTCCCGCTTACAGCATGATGCTATTTTACAGGAACGACCTAACCATGGCTGAGATTTGCCTCCAATGGGCACCACAGAGGAAGGAATAAAAAGTTCCATACCCTGAAGCCCACATCAGCGACAGAATCCGCAACAACGTTGGGATCGTCCGGCGAGAAGCAAACCCGCCTCCAAGGGTAGGATGCAAAGAAAGACCGCATTCCATCCCAATCGGCTGACCTATAGTGCCAAACACGGCGGCAGCCTGCAGAATGCAACTGCGATTTCAGTGTGAGTGGCACCACACTCCGGACAAGACAATGGTCCGAGGAGCCTAAAGGGGCTTCGACGGAAATCTGATATCCGTCCGGGTGAGAGGTCAGCAGAAGGTCCAACAGGGAAGGTGCATGATCCTCCACATCTGTAATCCGCATAGGCGAAGTAACCAGTTGTGACAGACCATATGCCAAGGCAAAATCATGAACAGATCTCTCCGCATGATCGGTTAAACTACTCGGTAAAGTCACCGAGGATCACGATCTCTGCGGAGGGGATCTGCTGTAGCAACGAATTTGTAGCCATTTGGACGTGGTCGAAGAGTCGGTCTGTTTCGGTATTACCGCTATGGGACCTATAGAGGCACCCGTAGACGCGCGGATGGTCGTCGCTGTCTACGCATAGCCAAAGGATGGACAGGTCCGAACCTTCAAGTCTGCCGAGGCGTCGAGAACAGATGTCCTCTCTGACGTAAACGCAAACTCCAGCCCGAGGCACAAAGGAGTGTTCCAGTTTGTACCCCGGGTAGGAGAGATACGAGACATCAGACGGAGAGGACACCTGCGTCTCGGTCAGGAAGAGCAGAGCCGGCCTCGCCGTCTCGAGATGGTAGTGGACGGCGTTTAGGTTAAGTCCCCTGATATTGCAGAAATTCACGGACAGCGTGGCAGAGGTCGCCTTGGTCTTGTTTCTCCGTTTGCCCCGAGCAGTTGTAGTCTTGAGCGGAATTTGCCCCCCCCAGAATACGCGGGGCAGCCTGAGCACCCACGCTCAGAAGTGGAGAAACATGGTCGTGGATGCTCAGCGAGGGATTCTCCAGGGGTGCTGGTACCCTCCTGGGGTAGTCTATCATTATTTAATTCCGCTACCATGTTGACGGGCGGGGGGGGGGGGTTGGGCCTCCGGCCACCTGCACTCACCAGACGAAACGCGGAAGCAGAGCTTCCACTTCACGCCGGTATTTTGCGAGGTCGTGGTACCACCCCGGTTTGAGCCGGCCCGTACGTGCAACAGCAAAGCTGCCGCGTGGCTCTACCACTGTTTTATGAATAACAGCGGTTTATTGTTTATTTTGGAGGTAACTTTGGATTTTTTTCTATCGAAAATTTTACGAAATCGTGTTTTCGTCTGACATAATCCTTAACATTAATCCTCAACTATACCATATATTTATTTCAAAATTAATGCTGCAATATTTTCGGCATAACGAAGGATCTTGCTAAGCCATTTGAGATTATATTTCCCCTTAAGTTTCTGAAAACGTTTTGTCTAAGGCGTACATTACACGCTCGTACAGGAGTCATTCAATTCCATCAATCATGATTGATAAAAAAACGGATGATGACTGATGGGCGTACATTACGCGCTCATGCAGGCCTCATGCAGGCGTCAATCACTGCATTACACGGTAGGTTATTCGTCAATCACAACCGTGATTGTTGTAGAACTGACAGCCTGCATGAGCGTGTAATGTACGCCTTACAGAAGAATAAAAATCATTCTCGTCTGTCATCCATCTGTCGAATAATTAATAATTTTACAAACGAAGAAAAATAAGACAATGAGACTAAAATTTTTATCATACATACAACTTATAATCTTTCAAGTGTTAATTGTATCTAATCATGTTGTGTCGAAAAGTCTATTGCCTGTTTTGTCAATAGATCCAAAAGAGAGGACGTCCACTAACCAATCTATGAAAAATACACGAAGAGTAAGTATTGTGATATTATAGTATTTACGAATGGTTCAATCAGTTGTTTATTGATAAGTTATAAATGTCATGCAAATATTCATTATTCAAGAGTGAGTGTAAATATAAAATAATGTGTATTAGAGGAGACACGCTTGCCACCCTAACGGGTAGGTAGAGATTACGTATCTTCATTTCGTAGGTTTGCGCGGTGTTCAAAGGAGGTTAAGATTACGCTCTTCCGAGCGTTCTGTACATCGCTCTACTCGTGCAGCTTATGGGCTAATTACAGTAGGAAGAGTTACAGCGTCCTCCGCGTCCAATACAATAATGCGTTTAGGGCGGTGATGGGGCTGCCTCGATTTTGTAGTGCCTCTGGTATGTTCGCGGATGCGCGCACCGATTGCTTCAATGCCACCATGCGCAAGCGGGCCGCGTCCCTGGTGCGCAGAGTGCGGGCCAGCTCCAACACTGTCTTGGCGATGATCTCGGGAAGGTTAGACTTATATTATCCAGCATTGCTGCGACAGACATGTCGCAGAACAGTTGCCTCTGAGAAAGTTTTGATTGATCTCGTCTCCTGACTGATAAAAGTGTGTTTCAATTCTGTTATTTATGTATTAACTTTATTTTATTTGATTAGATTATTTTATATAATGACATTACTGCTTATTGAAATTGACTGGATTTGTTATTTTAAAATTGTTATTTTGTTGACATTGATTTATGTATTGTATTGCTATACTTGTGGAGATTGATTTTAAATTCATTTATTGCAGCACAGTTGCCTCAGAGAAAGTTTTAATTATTGATCTCGTCTCCTGACTGATAAATGTGTGTAATTCTGTTATTTAAATTAATTTTAATTTTATTTCAATATATTATTTTATATACTGACATTACTGCTTATTTACATTGACTAGATTTATTATTTTAAAATTGTTATTTTGTATTGACATTGATTTACTTATTGCTTAATTTTGGAGACTGATTTTAAATTCTTTGATTTTACTGGATATGGGTGTAATTTGCCTGAATAAAGATGATTATTATTATTATTATTATTTGGCACGATCCTGACACTCTCTCGAAGAATAAAATTACGAATGTAGTAAGCGAGGGCACGAGGGGTCACATTCTAATAACTCAAAAACTACAGCCTTGTTTGCATTGATGGCTTTGTGATACGATAGCTTTTCATCGGTCAATCAAATAATAAAGGGTTTAAGGCGCTGCTTTATCGACGCCATTTTAACAGTTGACATTATAGTAAATATTTTAGTCGATTTTAGTATGGTGTAGCGTAGTTAGTTTTTTTTAAGTAGATTTTTTGAAGTGTTCCTAATTATTGCCAAAGCTTGTTTGCTATTTTTTTTCTTAATATATTAGTTATAGTATACGACTTTGTGTTTTTGTCTTTGCCCTTCTCCTATTTTTTGTTTTATAAGGTGGCATAGCTTAAGGTGACCATATTACGCTCGCGTACCTTAGTTATAATATTGACAGCACTGTACGTCAATCTGTTGGTACACTTACTTACTACACACTAAAAAAAGTATAGTTTAAGAAATACATATTATAGATTTTATATAAAATTTTTATGCCAAATTTTTTTAATATTTTGTAGCACAATTGTTACATAGTATATTATATTTAAGTAGTTTTTAAGTAAAAGTTAATTTCGATGTCATATAAATAATAAGCTTAAGTAAATTAATGTATAAGAGCAAACTGTGCAGTGCCAAGACAAACAATAGATGTTTAATGGCACGAAGAAATTGTTTTTGCAATTAAAACTGTTAAGTTGTTGAATAAAATAAAATAAAAACTTCTATTTTTTGCCAGATTGTAATATAATGACGATTATGTTTTCGCAGCCGATACTAATGTACACGAAAACTTACGGCACCTATGGGCTGAGCTTGATGATGGTGTCCGTCACCACAATGGTGATATATCATTAACAGCGTTATAGCCCTTCACAAATCCATTTCTAAACATTGGCTTTCTCCACAGAACGCTACAAAATACGGTCCTGAACCATCACCATCTATCGACTATCTGCATGTTTTGTGGCTTCATATAGCTCAAAAAGCCGACAAATAATTCCTCCACTAGAAGAAGTGACGATCTGATAACTGATAAACATGTGTGTCACATTTAATCTAAGTTTCATTCAAAACAGTTTCATTGAGATTTTCTATACATGTCTGACTACTGCAATGCCTGCCCTAATTTCCGAAAAAGTACTAAATAATTAGTAGACTTTATTTTCACAAACATGCATATTCCTACACCGATAAGCACGTGGTAAATCATCATTTAAAATTATAATTAACAAACTTTATAATGCCTGCGAGAAACGAACTGCGGTTGCTCGCTAACCATGAAATTTAATGGCGAGCACTCTGAACGTGATCACTCAGAGTCTGGATGTTTATTACAAGTTACAATCCGTATAAAAACTTATGAGAAGTAATTTTGATTCCAGTATCTTCCGTTCATAATGCTGATAGACCGAGATAAAGATACCAGCGAGTATTGGCGTGAGACCGAGATCTTGTCCTTGGTCCGTAACGATGAAGCCGGCATAGACTATGAGAAATGTGAACAGAACTCCCCAGAAATCACATTATTGCATTTGCCTAGCAGAAGATCTGTAAGACCTGTTTGTAGGACGCCTTATGGTAAGAATACCTGCGAACTTTACTTTTATCTGTAGCCTCCTTTATATAAAGTTGGCTGGAGGTGTCTATTGTCTTAAGTAGTCATTTACCATCAGGTGTGCTGATTTTTGTTTATCACTTCAGGACAAAGAAGAGTAAAGTATAATTTCTAGACTTTACTTAACAAATTTCTTAAAAAGTAAACTAAAGAAACAGCCTAAAATGTTCATCAGGTCACAAACATTGGCCTCCTGTCATCATTCTCTTTCAGGTTTCTTATCGTAGTTTTCCTTTGCTGCCGAGCACGTGGTAAACTATTAGTAGCTCATATTTCGATTATAATAAAGGTTAGTTCCTCTATGTCATGAGGTCGCAAAAATGTAAAGGGAAGTAATATCTATATGAATTAATTAAAGATGTTTCTGGCATTTCCCATCATCATTTTCACCATTAAGCCCTTCACAAGTTCACAGCTGAAAATTTTTCTCTCCTATTAATGCCACAAAATACGGTCCTCAGCAACGCACATAGTAGAGCCACGCTGCAGCTATTTTATGGTGTACAAATGGGTCGCCTCGACTAGGGAAGGATGACGCTCTCACGGAATACCAATCAGGAAGAGCAAAATAGCAATCTGTGTTTCATATGGTAAGAGCAGACAACCAGAAATCCTTTTTATTGAAATCTTAGTCCACAAGGGTGATAACGCATTTGCATCTGAATTCTTAATATAGACATATACTCGTATTGGCTACAGCATCCACTTACCATCAGGTGGACTGAGTGCTCGTTTGTTACACTATTATAAAAAAATTATCGATTTTATACAAGGTCGTCACTCCATTTATTATCGATCGTACAACTACGAAGAATTTTAGAATTAAGGGGAAATATAATCTCAAATGGCTTAGCAAGATCCTTCGTTATGCCGAAAATATTGCAGCATTAATTTTGAAATAAATATATGGTAAAGTTGAGGATTAATGTTAAGGATTATGTTAGACGAAAACACGATTTCGTAAAATTTTCTCGATAGAAAAAAATCCAAAGTTACCTCCAAAATAAACAATAAACCGCTGTTATTCATAAAATACTTTAAATAAGATCATGAAAGTTTGCATACTAACTGAACTAACTATAAAGCAGTGCTTATGTTATTTACTTTTTTTTAAAATACCATTATTTTCACTGTAAAAAGAAATTACCTAAACTATCGGCCTTTTGAAGCGTGATTCCTGCCGCACGGTTACTTCGCTTCGGCCTTTGAACGGGGAGGTTGTGTCGCTTACGATCAGAATATACATTACGTAATAGGACGACGTAAAATTAAAATGGGAAATAACCGTAATAAAAATAAGAAGCGACTGGCTTGGCGTTACGAAACAGGCATAAATATGATAAACCTAATGAAATAAGTGTCTAACGACCTTTCTACTTACAGTATTAGTGATTACAAACATGTCGGTACATAGCATACGACGCGCGGGCAAGTGGGGACGAAATTAAAATTTGAGCTGACTTACTCTCCCTTAACCTAGTACTAAACTGCACCTCGAGAATATTTATTCCCCATGGATTATCGGTTTTTCGACTTATTAAGTCGGATTACTGCCTCTTTTCCGCGAGCTATGGCGGTTACGGCTATAATAAAAATATTTCCGAAGATTATAAGTCATGCAAAGTCATCGTCCTCTATTCCATATCATCCCGTACAGGTAGATTTGTGATCACATCAGACCATTCCCGATATCTTTTGATAAAATCTAATGTATGCTCTAACGATACCACTACATGGCTACCCTCAACTTCTTCATAGAAAAGTATTCTCTATATATAAGTTTTTATGGGTTATAGTGCTGTGGGTTAGTGCGACCTCATGAGACCGCTAGGTTTTTGACGGAATATGACCGTGTTGTAATGCAATAATAATTAGAGTCCACTAATTAATGAACAAACCTTAAAGTTTTCTATTATTTTAGATTACCAGCTTTGCCCACAATGTCCTCGTTTCAACAATTATACAGAATGTGAGTTGTTCCGTGACTCCTGCAGGTAACGTAATATCTTGGCAACATAATAATATTAAATATGTATTACTTATATATAATAACGTCTGATTGAAGAATGTGTATAATGTCCTTTAGTAGCCATCTGTGCATGACAGGATTATAGTGCCCGAGTGTTTGCGCAAATAGAGGAGCATTGTCTATTCCTTTACTTTCATAGTCCTATGGGTCGGCAATATGATACGACCAGAGAAAGATTATGTGCAAGACCAACGGTATGGAGTGTGGAGGAGTACACACTCTGTATAAAAGTGTTCGTAGGAAAGCGCTAAATAAGGGTGGCGCTACTGTAGCTACAGTCTAAATTTTAAAGAACTTTTTATAATTTTTTTATTGTACTGACTTTCACCATAATTCTTTTTACAATAATTATTTTATTGTTTTCAAAATTTTTATTTTGAAAACCACTCTCAACGTATTTTACGGCGATTTATCATACCCTGTAGCTACTCGAGAGCCGTTGTGGTGAGTTTTTGAACTGTTATTTACTGCTTACAGAAGGACACATTTTCAACTATTCACCTATGGGAGATTGTCCTCCTTACCTCTATACTCCATGACCAACGGCTTTACGTGCTTTACGAGCTCGGGGACACACTGCTCAATTTCACCATTGCCTCGCTCCATTCACCAAACCTACACACTTCTTAACTTCTAAATAGTACATTGTTGGTGGTAAACTTAAAGCTATTCAGTCCATTTAAAACTAAATTACTTTTAAAATAAAAGTGAAAAAAAACTTCAGATAAAAATAAAATTATTTAAATTTTGCTTACAAAAATGTCCTTCACTCTCCAGACCTCTCCTATCGCATGCTCGAGGTTTCTCTGCGTGATAAACTTAGAAATTAGGATATCCGCAGTAGAACCAGAGTGACTGACACAGCCCAACGGATTAGTAAGCTGAAGTAGCAATGGGTCGGCCATATAGCTCGAAGAACCGACAAACGATGGGAAAAAAGGTTCTCGAGTGGCAGCCTCGTCCCGGTAGGCGTAGTGTAGGGCGACCCCCCAGTAGATGGAGTGACAAACTGGTAAGACAGGAGGAAGTTGATGGATGCAGGTGACTTAGGACCGTGCTTTGTTTCATTCCTTGGTATCCTCATTTCTAAGTTTATTACGCAGAGAAACTCCGGGCATAGCCCTTTCCATAGCTCGCTGAGCGACCTTGAGCGTCCTCATACGGCCAGCAGTGAAGGACCATGTCTCAAATCCATAAGTCATCACTGGCAACACGTACTGGTTGTACAATCTAGTTTTCAGGTTTAGAAGAATACCTGACGAGAAGATGTGTCATAATTTCCCGAACGCTGCCCAACCGAGTTGAATCCGTCGATATGACCTCTCGGTCGAAGTTGGACATACCTAGTCAGAATATTTGTCCCAGGTAAACGTACACGTCAACAACTTCGAGCTTAGTGCTCCCAACAAGTACCGGCATAGGTGTGACATGGACATTTAACATGATCTTTGTTTTGTCCACGTTCATCTTAAGACCTATCCGTTGAGAGACACTATTGAGGTCATTGAGCATAGTGCTTAGGTCCTCCACCGATTCTGCCATAAGGACTATATCGTCGGCAAATCGAAGATGAGTGATGTATTCGCCATTGGTGTTAATACCGTATCCTTTCCAGTCTAGTAGCTTGAAAACGTCTTCCAATGCAGCGGTGAAGAGTTTCGGGGATATAACGTCACCCTGCCTTACACCTCTCTGCAGTTGGATAGGTTTCGTACTCTGATTCTCTACTCGGATAGCCATCGTAGCCCTATTGTACAAACACCTCAGCACTTCGATGTACCGACAGTCAACTTGGCACTGCTGAAGAGACTATAGCACCGTCCAAATTTCGACGGAATCAAAGGCTTTCTCATAGTGCACATACGCCAGGCACAGTGGCAGATTTTATTCTTCGGTCTTTTGTACAATTGCTTCTTCAATACGAGCTGTATTGAAGTTGCGTAAGTCTCGCCGCATGGATTTGGAGATCTGTCTGTTCAGTTGCCTGTATGCTGTCAAATCTGCTGACGACTGCAGCTTCATCTCCCGTCTAACAGCCATGAGATTAAGAGTGTGATCGGAGAGTTTTTGTGTTCTTCTGCGGTAGGTCTTGCAGAACTTAGCTCCGACCGCATGGATAGTTTACCCGATGATAAGTAGATCTTATGGCCCAAAGACTCCTACGGCTGTAATGACGTCATGGCACTATCGGTAAACCTTCTGTGGTCCGGTTATGTTGTGGATCCGGTTTAGCGAATTAGTTATGTTTAATTAGTTTAGTTGAATTAGTGAATAGATTCGTAAGATATAGTATCGATACGCTAACTCGTCACTGGTTTTAAATTTTAGGGGCGGTCACCATTTGTATAATTTTTTTATAAATATGCGGATAGGCATCAGATGTTTTAAACTTTAAAGGGCTCGTAAACGGGTTTAAAAATCTGTAGAAATTTCGATGAGAACTATAGCTAAGCAATATTCCATCATTAGCATAAGCATTATTGTGCAATATCAAGCAAAGTATATCCCAATATTGCCTCAACTGTATCGCCTAGAAACTGAGTTTATAAACCTGAACGTTGAGGCCTTAAAATTGCAGTTAGAAATCTAGAAATCGTCACAAAACTAGCCCCTTTATCAGCGCCTTTAGATGTTGGTTGCCATCACTAGTTTGGAAGAAACAGTTCAGAAATATTTGGTAGGCATCAATGAGACCATAACGCAATATTTCATCAGTTTGAGAAATTGGAGAACGGATAAGTTTTATAGGAAAACAACTATTTATTAAAACCCTCTCAAAAACGAGAGCAGACCTATATCTAGTGGTATATCAATACCGAATAAATTTACTTATTACTTTTACTAAAAGGAAAAAATGATTCAATCTTGTCATTCTATCAACTAAAGTTTGAAAATTAAAAAGTTCCTATTTCTCTCACCATATATGCCGGCCGCACTGCTATATTCCGGAAGGTATTCTGTCTTAGTCCTCAGAGAACGTATCTGTAGTATTCATTTTTGGAGTTGGCTGCAAGTGACCATGAGCTACAGCAGCTATTTACTATTAGGCCGACTGTAAGTTCGTTTTCTACTTCAGTTTTATAAAAAAGTAAAGTAACAGCTGTCCATTTCGACAGTTTACTTTACTCGTCGTCATAAAGGTCGACTAAAGAGTATGCTAAAATGATCTTATGGCTTCCGATGAGGGTATAACATCTCGCATACACCATGCTTAAAATACCCAATGGTACTGCGGTCATTATCCACTGAGCAGTCAGCTACAGAAGGTAAAAATTTCATATAATATATTTGTTATTTTTTTATAGAATAAGGTTGACAAACGAGCACACAGTCCACCTGATGGTAAGTGGATGTTGTGGCCCATAGACATCTACATCTATCCTCGATTAAGAATCAAAATGCAGATACTAAGAGGGAACGCCTCGTATCTAGTAAAAATAATCTCCGGTTCTCTACACTCACCATACGAAACACAGCAGAACCTTGAATTGCTATTTTACGCTGGTATTCTGTGAGAGCGATGTCCTTCCCTAGTCGATCCGAACCATTAACCACGTATAAACCACATTTTTAAAGAAGGGTGACAAACACACACACAACCCCCCTTGGGGGTGGTGCGCGCCCCACAAAAAAACTAAAAAAAAAAGTTGGACCTTAGGAGAAGGAAAAAAACCATTCCAAAAAAAAAAAACACTTCTCTCCTAATTAACCCCGCAGAAAAAAACATGTGCAACGTACATCATATGTAGTTTATTTGCAGGGAGAGGCGCGTCCAGCCGAATGAATACCGCACGTACTGCGACCGGAAATACGGAAAATGGCGGACCATGTTCCTGCCATCTGACTACTCACATTGCAGATGTTGCGATGAGTGTATATTTTATAGAGGTACTAGCTGGTCTGACTCGACGTAATGGATTTGATTAAAATGTAAAATAAATAACCTTAGCACCACCGGTTTATCCCGTTTATCCACCCTAGAAAATCCATCCTAGTGTGGATACTCGGAAACCCGCGTCCGTTTACCTCAGAAGGGGTGGATAATTGGAATTCGTACATTATTTTTATTCCAAATTTCTCCCTCGCCTGTGTACAATCGTTTATAGAAACATGATGGCTGTTTGTTAAAAGTAATTTTTTGAATAGTGATGATAATTATGATAGTATGAATTCTGATTACCCACCCAGTCTGGGTTTGATAACTTACTTAAGGATATAAGGAATAACCCGCGCCACCTATCGGGTCCAGATTTAGTGATTTTATTTTTTGACATCATAGTACATAAGTTATTTTGGTCCATAGAGATAAAATTTGATAATAACTTGACTACAGCAGATTCTACACCCAACGGATTCAAGAATGACTTCTTATTAAGCATCACATCTATAAAAAATATTATGTGACTTAGATCTACCTCCCTATTCTATGTTGGCCGTATAACCTTATATTACGTTAGACGTAAAATACCCATACAGGCGACGGGAAACAAACCTAAAGGTGAGAAACGTGTGGTACTGCGATTTTTTTAACTGGTTTAAGGTGAACAAAGAGCACACAGTCCACCTCAAAAATTTGGTATTTACATCTACAATCAGTACACAAAACCTTGTTTTTATCTGAGCTTAATACGTGTTCAATCGACAAAGACCAATACGTATACGAGTATATGCAGTAATCTATGGACCAATACAATACCACCAATACTATCAACTTTATCCACATCATTGACAAAACTGGACATGCTGATTTCTTAGAAATTTTAGGAAAGTCAAAGTAACTTTTTTTAACGCGTTTACAAACATTCAAAAATATTTAAAAACACCCAGAACTCAAGCCCTTTCTATTGGTGTATCGTAGATGAAGGTACTTATTTCTAGGAATTAGAGCGCAAAACCTGTCACTCTTAACAATAGGCAGATGTCTAAGGATCACAGGTAAGTGGGTACTGTGGTCCTGAGATATCCATACATCTACCGCGATTAAGAATAAAAATGCAGATGCGTTGTCACTCCTGAGGACTGAGATAAAATGCCTCGTTTCCAGTAAAAAGGGTCTCCGGTTCTCTGCACTCACCATACGTAACACAGCAGCATTAAGCTGCTATTTTACGCTGGTATTCTGTGAGAACGTGTGGACCTACCAAGGTCGAGCCGACCCATTCGTGCTACAATAGTTAAAACACTTCGTACTCGTAAAGCCTTCTAGGAGAAGAACAAAAAAAAAAAAAACAATGCAGCATGGCTCACCCAAATATCCATCCGTCTACCAAGCATACAACTGGAGGGGTCCATGCCCTTCAGAGTACTTTTACACGCTGATGAAAAAGAAAACGCTAACTCGGTCAAGCTGTTCAAAAGTTCCACGATTACTAACACATGTACCAATACAAAGATTTCTTATTTCTCTTATAATAGTAGTAATGCTCAAACACTACTTATTAAGTATTTCTTTTAACTACTCCTATGCTTAAATCACTTTTCAATTGTTCTTTGAGGAATTCGAACCTGCGGACCCGCGGCATCGTAATCGAATCCGTAAACGCTTAGTCACTGCGTTACAAATATCCGAAAACACGTGATAGGTAAATCTTAGCACATAATTTTGAAATCAAAGTTTTATAAGTGGCGGAGTCTGTCTAGGTAGATATATGTAGCACCATCTTGCTTTATATCCTGTTAATCATTGTATCCCGGTTTGGAGGCAATGAGCCGATATAAGTACAGGCTCTGAGGTAATCCATCTCAAGTGGTAGTTTATCTTATTACATTAAGATAAAATATTGATCAGATTCTTTTACGTCGCTTATCACATATTTTTTGTCACTGTCACTTTTGATTTAAATGAAATCAATCTACCATTTAAAATATTTCAGAAATGGACCAGTCGTGCGTAGAAGATGAGTATAGCTTCGATACTGAAGAGTTTTTGCCTGTAACTACAATAGGTAAATGCAATTCATATAGCTGTGGCTCGCGTTATAGTTTTTTAGCTTTAGTTTTTTTTTTAATCAAAGAAATCAACTGCCCACATGATGGTAAGTGGTAACTGCAGCTCATGGATATTTGAAACCATCATAACACTAACAAGGCCACAGATGCGTTATCAACACTGATGAAATATCTTAGAATCTGTATACTTGTCTTCCCTTTTCCCTCAAACCGGTGTACTGCTTACAGTCGCTGCTTAGCGGGAGAAAAAGGTACTCACAGGGTGGTAACGAATACCACTGTTTTTGGGAGCGAGTTCTTCTCCGATTTGCGATGCGTTCAATAAATTGTTCGTAGAAATATCTTTTGAAGTCTAATATCTTTTAGATATAGTATATTTTTTATTCATTTTAACGTTAATATTCTAGTGTAGCATATAAAGAAAGAAAAACCAGGATGTTTAATGCGTTTCTTCTTCGGTTCTGAATAACTTCATTACGGAACTGCAGTTTAGCTTATAAATGTGTAAATTATGATATATAAAAATCAATTTCTATCCGCTAGTCTCGATACGAGTAAAACTCGAAAACGGGTCGAATGATTATAATTTTTTTATGTGCACTTCAGTGGGTCCCTGGCTAGTTTAGATTTTTTTACATTTGAATCTGGTAGGAGGCGCTGATATCGAGATCTAAAAATTATCTTTGCGACGCCGTAAGCCGAAGCTAGTATTAAATAAGATAAAACATCCTCAGAACTTACTCCAAGTGACTCCATATTTTTGTCAGTATTGCGTACTGTTAGAAATCTTGCAGTCTCTAGTCATACTCACCACGTATTAGATATCATAAAATTTAAATTTGCGCTACCTTTATATTAAACATTTTTACTATATTAACAGCAGATAAAACATGCAAACAAACCTATATATCTAGATATATGCACGTACAGGTTGTATTCAGGAGCATCCGGGTAATAGTTAGACTTGGCAGACAAAAGAACCAATAATAATTTTTATTTTATTTTAATATATTTTTTGCGTTCCCTTACAAAAAAAGGATACAAAGGGCGGACTTAATGCCTAAAGGCATTCTCTACCGGTCAACCCATGGAATGGTGACAGTTTGTCGTAGGTGTAGCAATTAAATGAACAGAAACTAAAATTAATACATATTATATGTAACAAAACTGATAAAATTGTAAGTTCAAAATTGCAAGTAATTCGTACATTTACATAAATTAACACATATTCATAATATAAATACATACATACATAATACATACATAAACACTCACAACTGTCACCCAGAGGGGTAGACTAGGTACAGAGTACAGACTTCAATTTGGCACGATCCTGACACCTCTCTCGCCTCCCCACATCCTACTTTGGCCCATTTTCAACATATCGCTAATTTGGTCGATAAACTTTCGCCTAAGACGGGACGTCTTACGCTACATTAACTTTGTATTTATGTATATTTATATCCATATAAGTGTTTGTATGTATGTATTTTTATATATGTTTATTAGCATATAAATGTATTTATACGAGTGAATGCAGGAAATAAAGTAAATAGGGCTTTTCACTCTAGTGTGAAAAGTCAGAATGTGTCAAAAAAGGCACGTATAAGGCAATTCACAGTACTGTATTAGTCCCTACTTTAACGTATGCTAGTGAAAGTTGGGTGTGGCAGAAGAAGCACGAGAGTAGAATAAACGCAGTAGAAATGCGGTCGCTAAGGAGTACGTTAGGGCTGAATCTGAGTGACAGGGTGACAAACTGTGTGATAAAAGAAGAGTGTGGTTCGCAGGGTGATGCGGTGACCAGGATTAAGAAAGAAATGCTTCGATAGTTCGGTCATGCAGAAAGAATGAACGAGGAAAGAGTGACAAAGCAAATTTATGTTGCAAGTGAACGGCAGAATCGAAACTTTAACATACATATAAATAAGACTATTTAACAATATTGTAATTCTAGTGATTCTTCAGTAAATGCTTGCGTATTATCTTTTTAAAGGAGTATTTGTTAGGCGCTTTTTTGATATGATTATGTATGCACACATACCTTATAATGGTTACCAAATTAAACGTAGCTTGAGTTGTTTTTCAACTTCAGCTATGGGTCAACAATGAAGATGTATCATCATCATCATCAGTACAGCCCTTCACAAGTCAGCTGCTGAACATAAGCCTCCTTCTAGGGATGCCATAAAGCACGGACCGAGTCACCTGCTTCCATTGACTTCCTGCTTGTCCTACCAGGTCCCCAAACTTCGCCTACCGGTGCAAGGCTGCCACTCGCGAACCTTTCTTCTCCATCGGTTATAGGTTCTTCGAACTATTCGTTTACTCTTATATTATTATTATCTTAGCTTATCGAGCTTACTAATCCGTAAAATATATAAAGATACTCATTTTATATTCTGAATAATTAATTTATTTAATTGATAAATAAAAACAGATTAAAATAATACTTTATATTTCTTATCCATTTGTAATTTAACAGAGTTTAATTATCTGTAAGCTAAGAGGAGGCTTACAACTTGCAGTAGGTGTGGAATAATTAAGTTAAATAAAAAAATGTGAGAAATTAAAACATTTCTAATTTCACGATGGTAAAAAATATTGTTTTTGATTTGAATTTGTAATTTAACAGAGTTTAATTATCTGTAAGCTAAGAGGAGGCTTACAACTTGCAGTAGGTGTGGAATAATTAAGTTAAATAAAAAATGTGAGAAATTAAAACATTTCTAATTCCACGATGGTAAAAAATATTGTTTTTGATTTGAATTGAATTTCAGATTTCAGAGCTGGTTGCAATCCGTATTGGGGTCATCCCAAACAAGAAGTGAAAGCTTTGCGTTGTGATCAAGTGTTAAGGAGATGTAAGAAACGACATTAATAATTAATACTATTTATAACTTACTTACTAATAACTGCATAACGTTTGGTTACAGAGCCCTATTCAATTATTCTTATAAAATGAAAGTAAGTAATATGAAAAGTAAATTGAAGCAGCCAGGGAAAGTGCACTTTCCGAAATTTTTTGTGTGAACATAAAAAAATCCGATTGAGGAAAACAGTATCAACCTAACTACTTTATTTACGGTTAATTGATAAAGAAAAAGATAATATGATTATTTTATAGAATAAGGGTGACAAACGAGCACGCAGTCCACCGGATTGTAAGTGGATGCTGTGGCCCATAGACTTATACATTTATCATCGATTAAGAATAAAAACGCAGATAAGTTGTCACCCCTAAGCACTATGATGGAATGCCTCGTTTACAGTAAAAAAGGGTCTCCGGATCTTGGAAGGTACTCACCATACGAAACACAGCATTATTAAGCTGCTATTTTACGCTGGTATTCTGTGAGAATGATTCTTGATTCTTCCCCGGTCGAGCCGACCCATTCGTGCTACAACCGTAATATAGCTGCAGCGTGGCTCTACCACGTATAAAATGCTGATATTGCTGGTTAGATATTCTGACCGTATTTAAGATTATCCACTTTCCCATGTCGCCCGTGGGTGTCGTAAGAGTCGACAGATGCTAACCAACCCGGAGATGGTCAACAGCGTCTTCGTTATAACAACTAAATAATAAAAAACCGCGGTTGCCAATCAACTTGCCATGCGTGGCAACTATGCCAAATATCCCCCCTATGAGGCAATATTTGGGGAAGGCCATGTATAGCGGTGGGCTTTTGATAGGTTGTTACAGTAACGATTCGATCTTTCCCTTCATTATAAACTCGTTTCACCACTGCTGGACCCACAGTAGGCCCAGCCATGTTCACCACACTTGACTTGACACTGATGATACGTAGTGGCGGATCCGCTCTGTGATGACTGATGCTTGTAGCGTTGGTAGGCAAATTCGGAAACTCATGGGTTCGGATCCGTCATTCGACTACTAAACAACTCCTTTTTTTACATGGCGAAATATCTACGCATGCTAACCTCGCGGAGAGAAGGACGGGCTATTTCGGACTCAAACCAGCGTTCGAATGTCTATCAGATGAACTATGTATATGCACTATAATCATTCTGGAATCACCACAGTTAACTTTTAAAAGTTCTTACGAGTACTGTGAAATATTTGGGAAGTAGTTTAAACATAGAGAAATGTTGTGCCACCGCCGATTAATTGATGAAAATTTACTTCGCCATCTCTTTGCAGTGTGACCATGTGAAATAGCGTGAAGAGTTTATGATTTCCTTTTTCAGGTGTTCCTGTTTCCATACCGGTCGTACCTAATGACACGCTAAATGTGTAAGCCCTTGCTTTGTTTGTAGTCTATGCCATAAAAATACACTGTAAAAGTTTCTTTTTTCAGTTTTCTATCTTATTAAGCTCCTTTGTATTATTGTAAAGAATAATTTTGGAGTGGTAATGGAGTGTTTACCACGTGCTCGACGGTAAAGGAAACCATCGGGAAAAAACCTTCATGTCTGAGAAACTAAAAAAATGTTTTGAGGACACATGAATTTCGGCAATACACTAGAGCACCACGGTGGCTTTATTACTCCATAACAATCTCAGGAATGAGAAATCTGTTACCAGTAGTGGGATGTATTACATTGTTTAGGCTGTAGCAGTTCTTGAGTCTAAACGACACGACACTTAACTAATGAGGCGGCGTTTGTAACAACCACGGGATGAAAAAGTGTAATAAGTTTTTTTATAGAATAATGTATAAAAACGAGCACACAGTTTACGCTATGGTAAGTGGTTGCTGTAGCCCAAAAACAACTGCATCTATACTCGATTAAGTATCAAAATTGAGGAAAAAAATGGAATGCTTTGTTGCCAGTGTATATCGTTCCCGGTTCTTTACATTTACCATAAAAGACAGCGGCAGTAATCTGCTATTTTACTTTGTTGTTCGGTGAGATTGTGGTCTTTTCTCGGTAAAGACGACCCATTCGTGATATAGTCATAATATAATTGAAGTGTGGCGCTACCACGTATTCGCTCTTTCACGATTCACACATTCTTTTGAACCGCTACCATACGGCTTATGTTTCCGACAATAAGAGACGCTCAGCTCAGCCACGAAATTTTACGAGCTGTTGAAGGAAAATAGATAGGTAAATACCAACATACGCGTTAGACCGCCGGAGAGTTTTCAAAAAAAAAAACTTCACACGTCTAGTACGTTGGGATTGGGATGTTCACCTGCTTTTTTCATTCTGAATTCAAAATGTTTAATAAGGTTTAATATTTATTGTTGTTTTTTTCGGTCAAAGTTTCACATCTAGAATTTCATAGTAACTTACCAGTTTTGACTAATAAAGTGATCGTCAACATTTAGCAGGCTTCCCGATCGCTTACTAAATCCTTTCAAATGTAACTACAATTCCATCTGAAGATTATAATGGAGACCTTCCAGGTCCCCACTATTATATTGGATGATGAAGCATACTGGCTAAGTCTAACAAAATCCTGTCGACTTATGGAAGGTGCTTGGACTACTTTTCCGCCTGCGAGTCCGTCTGGGTACATAGACTTATTATAATTACTGCGTATGGAACGGTTCATTGAACAAACAAAATGTCACCTACTCATTGGTGCGAAAATGTTTATGGATGTGCCGTGCGTTAGTGCAGTATTTCCACTTTTAGATATTTTGCACTATTTTAAGGTAAATCTACCAATATATGTAGGGCTTCAGGCATTTCTTCAAGTTGACAGGGTTTTAAATAATTTGGGGTGAAATCGAACTTTAGACAACCCTGTTTTCTATACTCACCCAATGTAACTTTTTTTAAAAGATTTGTTGAAGGGGATGTGGTCAAAAGAGCTAGAAAAGTGTAGAATGAAAAAGTTTCTCATATAGTATATCGGAATAAAGGTATAATATTTTACTTAGTTACAGATTTTATACGTTAGAGCCATGCTGCAGTTATATTAGTAGTATAGTTGTAGCACGAATGGGTCGGCTCGACCGGGGAAGGACCACGCTCTCACAGAATACCAGCGTGAAGATATGTGAGTGTAGAGATACATTCCATTCAGTCCTCACGGTACAACGCACCTGAAGAAAAGAGATCTAGGGCCCAGCAACCACTTACCATCAGGTGGACTGTGTGATCGTTTGTCACCCTATCCTATAAAAAAATATTCATTATTCCTATGATACTAAGTGTTATTAAATTTATTATAAAAATTTGAAAATGAGAACGTCTTCTTCATCACAAACCTCAAGAGTTTTAATCGTGAAATGATATTCAAAACTTGCAACGATGTCGTTCTTTAAAATATTGAAAATAAGGTGCAATAAATAAGGCTATTTAGATTTATTACGATAATTTAGGGAGTATTTCTACATGTTCTAGGGTAAAACCAAAATCATAAGTGGAAACACTGGTTCAGTGGTAGTTCATGAGTATTTAAGAGATGGCGCTGATTTATTATATGCTTACACCGGGAAAAATTTTTGTTCGCACAATATATCTTATCATTTATGTCGATGGGGTAGGTACCATATTTTTATTCTGTCGCCTAATGAAAGTGTCTGCACTGTTGGGTTTCAGTATAAATGGTATGGAGTAACAGTATAATTACTGACTGTGGACATTTCATCTTAGTTCTCAGAGATCAACGCATCTTTGGCTTTGTTTGAAGTTGGTTCCAGATGTCCATAGACTGCAGTAACTACTTAAGTACTATGAAGTGGACTGTGGGTACTTTTGTCACTTAAGTTTAAAAAAACCACACATTTTTTTTAAATCGGTTGACAAAACACAGGCTTGGCAAAACATGGAAGAAGTAGATAATTTTATGTAGTTATTAAGAATAACGAAGCAAAGTGTTTTGTTTGAATCCTCTGAATGTCGAAAACAAAAAGTAAGCGTAAATTTTTTTACCGTCTTCAAAAAGGAGGATGTGTTCAATTATTCGACTTTGTGTTGTTTTTTTATGTGTGTTATCTCAGAACTTGTCTCTGGGTGAAACGATTTTGATGATTCTTTTTATCTGAAAGCTGGTACTTCTCGTTTGATCCCATATAAATTTAATCAGGATCTGACTAGTAGTTTTAGAGTTATCTTCAATAATGCGTATTTAACTTACTGTTGTTGACAAATTTTTTAATTGTGTACCACGTGTTGATAACTATTTTAAAACGTAATTCTTTCTAGACGTCGCAGTTTCCGCTACGATATCCCAACGGACGAAGATTGTCCGGTCTCCTGCCGCGGTTATGAATGCCAGGGACTGGTGCAGGAACACCAGTGCGCGCCTGGTGCCTTCCTTCCAGATAATAACTACTGCAATTGCTGCGGAAAATGTAGCTCTTATCAACGTAAGCTCTCCAACTTTCAGTTTCCGCTTTATTGCAATATAGAAATATTAATAGAAATATTAATTTCTTAGAATAGAATATAATATAACATTTTGTTTTTTAAAATACTGTTATAGTAGTAGTATTCTGAACTACTGTTACATATAGCACTAGTAAACTGAGATAAAGTTCAGAATTTATCCGTAGTCTAACTTGACTTTCAGCGCATTAGTACAATAGAAAATTTCCTCTTCAAGTGAGTTACCGTTTTTATTGATATTGTTTTTTTTATAGGATAGGATGACAAACGAGCACACAGTCCACCTGATGGCAAGTAGTTGCTGTGGCCTATTATAGACACCTACATCTGTCCTCGGTTACGAATCAAAATGCTGATATACATTGTCACCCGTGAGCACTAACATAGAAAGCCTCGTTTCCAGTAAAAATGTTCTCTGATTCTCTCCATTCGCCATACGAAACACAGCAGCATTAAGCTACTACTTTACGCTGGTATTCCTTGAGAGCGTGGTCCTTCCCCGGTCGAGCCGACCCATTCGTTCTCCAACTATACTACTCATATAATTGCAGCATGGCTCTACCACGTATGAAATGCTGTGTCACCTATAATGGTGCACACATCAGACCGTAGATTAAGCCTATTTTCAATAAAAACGTAATAATGCGTGCACTGCTGGTATCCTATGAACAAATTAATAAATAAATATAAAATCAGACAAGAATTCCACGTATTTGAATTCTTGTCTAGTTTTATTTTTCATGCAATGGATCATAATCCATTTATGAACAAAAAATGTCGTTTAAAAACTAATTCCACTCTTTCTTACTTATTTCTGCCAATAGCAGTACCAGCCAATAGCACTAATGAGTTTCAACCTTAATTTTAGAAAGTCTACAGTCTACAGTTATGAGGCATTCCATCTTAGTCCTCATAGGTTCCAACATATCTGAAGGTGTCTTTGTTTGAAGTTGGTTGCAGGAGTGTGAGTTCGTTGGTCACTTAAGTTCAGTTTTATAATATAATTTTTTTATACGTAACTAGCTGGTATACGGTGCGTTGCCGCCACAGAAGGTATAATTGTAGGACTATCGTTTTAAATTTCAAAGAGTTATATTGTTTAAAAAAGAATGATGATACATTCATTGAAGCTAAATAATAAATAACTCCTTAGCGACAACAAAATACTAAACCATTTTTTTCAAAAGAATGTCTGTGTGATTTCTTTTTTGTATGTGTTTACGCAGAGTTGAATCAAAAGTGTGCCGAATTTAAGAAGACCCTACACAATGTCAACGGAAGCACGGAGATAGAAGTGAGTATGCAAATTTGAGCATTATTTTACACATTAACATTTTGTAAACAACAAAACAATGCAAAAATAGTCCAGAATTTTCAAGCATTACTTAGATTAAAAAATGCGCCGTAACCTATGACACATTTTAGTTTTATTTTTTATTAAAAAAAGGTGATAAACGAATTTACAGTCGACCTGATGGTAAGTGGCTGCCAAGTGTCAATACTTTAAGTAAAGAACGTTATAGGATGCCTTTGTCGCTTCTGAGTACTATATATATTATATCATAGAAAGCCTTAAGACCTGTTATTATAAAGCTCTCTCTTCAGATCGGAACATGTTAATCTTACCTTATTAACCATACTGACATGCGCATGCGACGATTGACGAGCAATCTTAAAAAAATAATTAATTCGCCCTGTTGGATATATGTCAGTAGGATTTAATTCCGGGATATACTGCAATTGTTAGATAGTGTGTAGAATCTAGAAATCCTATTACTAATCTAGAAAACCTACAGTATAAGGTTTTCTATAGTATTTGGTACTAATGACGCGGGTATTGCGTTATCTGGCTGCTATTGTAAACTTTCGTTCTCTCATTCACTCTGATTTTCTAGTAAGTCCTCGTACTAGGGGTGAGCGTTGGGACGAAGAACCGTTTACAAACACCGTTTTGTGTTCTGCGACTATGAAACCGTTTTACGTTCTGAGTTCAAACATTCTTCGTTGCACAAACCCCAGTCTTCGAATTACTTGGTGGGATTTTTTATTTTACGCCTATGAACATACAGTCGGGAACGCAATGATTCAGCTATCTATCTCACTCGTTGCGTCGTCCTTCTTAACGTTCCACGTTATATCGTAGTCTTTGGTTCCGCGTTCGTTCCAAACAGTCCTTACAATGAAAAGTGAACTTTTGGTAAATGAAATACAGTCGCTAATGTTAATGGTAATGCTAAGTTTGTCCCAGCCAGTCCTAAGCCTGGAAAAGTATGAAGGGAAGTTCATTCATCGTAAGTAAAGTCGATCAATAAAACTAATTATTTAGTAAACCATTTCATACATTACAAATCATTGATAGTTGTAAGAAACTGCAACCAATCACTAGCCGAAAACGCAATTCTTTTCCATGTTCGATACGTCTTCAGATGCAACACCGACCGTTTTCTGCAACCGTTTTCGTCATGGGGAAAACGATTGCGTTTCGTACGTCAAAAATTCGACAGCGACCCACCTCTACCTCGTACTAAGTGAACGGTGTAACGACCTGTTGAGACGTGCAGGAAGTCAATGGATGCGGGTGGCTCAGGATCGTATTTTGGGGCATTCCTTGGGCTATGTTCAGCAGTGGCAGCAGTGACTTGTGAATGACTATAATGATGGGACTCCTATTTGTCGATTTCCAGTATATTGTTAATTATATCGCATATCGGTGAGGCGTTTGTTAATACTTAATACCTTTCAACATCCCATGTTCTTCTTTTCCAGTTTGTAAAAATCGGCTGCTGTACATAGCTATTACTTACGTGGTAGAGCCATGCTGCAGTTATATTAGTAGTATAGTTGTAGTACAAATGGGTCGGCTCGACCGGGGAAGGACCACGCTCTCACAGAACACCAGTGTAAAATAGTAACTTATTGCTGCTTTGTTTCGTATGGTGAGTGAAGAGAACTGGAGGAAACGAGGCATTCCATCTTAGTCCTCACGGGTAACAACGCATCTGCATTTTGATTCCTAATCGAGGATAGATATAGATGTCTATAGGCCACAGCAACCACTTACTATCAGGTGGACTGTGTGCTCGTTTGTCACCCTATCATATAAAAAGCTGTCTCGTCGTAAGGCGAATTTCCCATAATCGCAACTCAATTTGACGTCTGACATAAGCTAGATCGTTATAGCGTATGTATATACCTATATAAAATAAAATAAATACATACTTAGATAAACATGTATGTATGCATTTATTTTATCTATGTGTTTATTTATTACCATTTTATATTATCTACTAGCTGTTCTGCGACATCACTCGCGTGTAAAAAAAAAAATAAGAAAAAACAACAAAAAACAATGTTTTTGTTATAAGTACCGTATATACTTTTATATGCATTTAGTAAAAAGATGTTATTTTGATATTAAAAACAAACACTTCGATTTTGTTTATTTGTATAGATTTATATTATATTAATAAATATTAATTATTAATTGCTATTTTATGGTTTAGAATAAAAAATATTTTATTTTTTCGTCAAATCATACTGGTGTTTTATTATTCTCTTGTAATCCTATCCATCCAAAGGTTGTCTAGAAGAAATCGCTTTTAGCAGTAAAACTGCCATTGTACCATAATATTTCTTTTTGCTCCTCATTTGTCTGTTCATATTTACATATTTTTTGATGTACAATAAAGTGTTATCTATCTATCTACCTATTTATCTATCTATCTATAGCTTTTTGTCAGAGGCTATTACTGCTTTATGGGACTTCCCATGTATTTTCAGCTTATTAATTTGTCGTTAGTTGTTAAAAACTTTGAAAATGACACTAGTTTAAATTGAACCGGAGAGCGATTTCATATTTAATTAAAATAATAATTTATATATTTATACATAAATACATAGATATTATTATTATTTTTGGGTATCTATATAGTTTTCTCATCTGGTTGGGTAAAATTATTGGGGTATCTATATAGTTTTCTCATCTGGTTGGGATCTATAAATATATAATTATAAATGAAAATGAAAAGATAAACATACAAAAATATCAATAACATAAAATAAATATGAAAATACATAAATAAATAAAAGCCCAACCAGATGGAAGCCCTCGGCAGGGGGAGACCAAACGGCCGAGGGTTAGGGGGAAAGGGAAAGAAACCGGCGGACGATGCGGGCGGTATCGAGGAGCACCGCCTTCTGCATTTGAGCCTGGAGCGGTCCGCCACGTAGTCCCAGCCGCCTCAGATGACCCGAGAGGCTGACTGGGATTAGCCCGTTTGCAGAGACGACTACAGGAATAATTTCGGTCGGCAGACCACCCCACATGTCGGTCACCTCGTGAGCCAGGTCCAGATATTTTGTTTGCTTATCTGTTTCGGCTTTCACGAGGTTCTCGTCACACGGAATGGTAATGTCGACAAAAAATATCCTTGACTGTGCCCGGTCCATCAGCACAATATCAGGCTTATTCGCAAGAATAGTCCTGTCTGTGATGATGGCCCGGTCCCAATAGAACCTGGCGCGATCATTTTCGAGCACGGCTTCCGGCAAGTACTTGTAATACGGCAACTTCCGATCCACGAAACCGTATTTCAGAGCGAGCTCCTGGTGTAGAATTCTGGCTACTAGGTTGTGCCTGTGCAAGTACTCAGAGTTAGAAAGCGCCGAACAACCGGAGATGACATGCCTAAGTGACTCACCGGGATGGCGACAAGCTCGACAGATGTCGACGGTGCCATCCTTTAGGATGTATCTCCGATAGTTGTTGGTCTTAATAACCTGATCCTGTATTGCACAGACAAAACCCTCGGTTTCCCCCGAAGAGGTCACCAAAGCGTAGCCAGTGGAGAGAGGCTACTGTGTCTACGAAAGGCCCATGTAGAGACCTTGTAGAACCTCCCGTGGAGCTCCTTCTCCTTCCATACGGTCTCCCGGTCGGAAATTCTCTGCACTGCCGGGTCTTGCCATTGCTCGTTGGCTAAGGATAGAGGGGTAAGTCCTTTATCACAAGAAATGACGTCCT